GGGCCGCCAGCATGGGCCCAGCCTTCCCGTCTCCGCGCCCGCGAGGGGCTCTGTCGTGGCGGTGCGTAGCACTTGAGCATCGCCTGGCGTGAATCTTTGGAACTGTTGAATATTTCCCCCCGTGACTGACTGACATACTTCAAACATAGCTTTAACTTATTGATAGAATATGAGGAAAATTTAAGTAAATGCGCTGTAATAATAAACTTCAAGTTATTACTTTTATTACCTTCCGGTACTTTTCATGATATCTAATGAACATAAATTACTTGCCTCTAAAAGTTAGGAGTCAATCCTCAGAGAATTTCATTTCAACAGTTTCATCAATAATTTAATTAAACCAACAAAAGGTTATTCATACTTTATGGCAGCAAGAAGCAGTTAACAAGGAAAGATGGAGAGAAACAAACACAAGTAGTGGAACAATCACGCCTTGCTGCTCCGTACTCACTCCTCCCTCTGGACCCCAGCTATACTTGTCAAGACCCTTCCCTCCAGGGTGAACACGAAGTAGCGTCAACGGCGACCCTTTCCTCCAGCGTCAGCCCCGGTTCGGTTCCACGCGCCCTTTTGACGCGTCGTCGAACAAGGCCCGCTCGCCCGCAAAGGGTTCGCGACAGATGAGCGGGGTCAGCGCGCAGATCTCGCACGTTATCGACTCGGATCTCGTGGGGGTCGACTCGCACAGGTCGGCAATAAAACTACTGTCCGACTCCCTCCGGCGGGCGGCGGCGCGGGCGACAAGTGTGGGGGAGAAGGCGCGCATTGTTTCCTAACAAAAGGTCACTTGACAGAGCGGATAAATGGCGATGTGGAGGTCCCGCCCCAGCAAGACCGCGAGAAAAATCATAGCGCTTTTTATTGCCATGCGATCCTTTCTGTATCCTGTGGGGCACAAGTGCTTCTCGTGCCAATTAAACGGATTGTCTGTGAAGTCCTTTGTCCCGCTCCCTACGGGACAGGACGTAGGGGGTCTGCTGTAATCAGGGGGGAAAGTTGATGAGACCTGGAGTATTTTTGAATAACCTCCAGAGATAGTTGGCAGTTGCAGACGCTTTCGTTCCCAGCAAGAGATAATGCGGATCTGTTGTTTTCGAAATACCCAAGTCTCGCATACAACAATTATATGAATTATAGGATTTTATTTTCCTTCTTAAACTACGACTACACCTTTCATCTTTTTTTTTAAATATTTTTCCAGGCCCACTCTTATTTATTCAACGTGTTTTAAAATACAAGATCTATAGGAACACGTAAAATATCCATTACTTGAATTACGAGCGTATTCTATATTGTTGTCTTCGCAAAAACACTATCCCCATTTTTATGAAAAAATAAAATCAGATAGTAAGTGTCCAGGTGGATCCAAATGAAATTCTATAATTGCCTATCCCCAAAATAAAAAGCAATGAGAAGTCACCATTCCGCTTAATTAATGCATATTACACGCCAGTCCGCTGGGCAAACTTTCTCTGCGCGAATGAACCGTTGGGAATTTTAAACGAATCTCATTTTCAATTTCATTAATATGCCAAGTGGCATTTGTCAACGATCTGGGACAGCTGCATCGTTAGCATGTAGTATGGTATTAGATTGTAGCAAGGGATAGGTATCTGCTTTGCATAGGTCGTGTTACCCCAGGGTATCACTTGATGATTTTCTGATTTTCTTCATATTTGCAGACTAATGCAACAAATGTTCTTCCAATTTCCTACAACTTCAATTTGTTTCGGAGGACATCCAGTGTAAATACGCTCTTGTTATACTACATTTAACACAGTACGAGGGCGGCATCGTTTACCTATCTTACCTTAATTATCGTTTTTTCTTACTCCTACTCCCTACTTGCCGATCATTAGGTGTGTATACATATACATCAATCACACGAAGCGCTGACATGTGCACTTGAAGAGTGAACAGAATTTAATTAGTACTTGGCGTGGTATGAAAATTTTTTGGAGGTCCTTTCATTCGAGGACTAGTCTTATTAAATACCACACGTGGACTGTAAAATTCCAGAAGAATTCCCTCGTCGCTACCGGCTCGGAAATTTTTCGGAAAGTGTTCAGCCGAATAAGGGGGTGAAAAGTGCTCCCAAATCAAATCGATCATCACGATACTTATATGAAAAAGAATAAAACCTTTCATAGATTCCCAAAAAATCAGCCTCCTAAAGCAATCAGTTACAGAGATACAATGAGAAACCCGTTTTTCATGTTTTATTTTGTTCTCAGCTTCTACTCGATGTATTAGGATAAAAAAATGGAGAGACAGAAGAAATAGTTGAATTTGAAGGTATTTTTGTCAACCAATTTTGACGTCAAATTCAAATGGGGAAAAAAAAGTTTTGAACCTGATTTTGATTGGAATTTCTTGCGAAGCAAGTCGGGGATTTATCGACAATTTCCAAAGCACTCGTGGTATTATCTTTGATAAAGAGCTTCAGAATATATTATCTGTGTACTTACTTTCCATGCAAGCTAGTTTTTGACTAACACGAGTGTTTGATACGCTTGTGTATGACTGACACGCTTCGTGAATTTTCGTGTTTTCCCGAAAGCTCATGAAAAGTCGTTCAGTGCTCCTTCTACATCATGAAACCTTAAACAATGCTGCGGAGAACTGGTTCCTGTTCGAGCTATAATAGCGGGTAAAGAGAGAAAAACGAGACAACAGCCGCCACGAGTAAATTGCAATTACGAAGCCCGGCGGAACACGCTGGGATGTTGTTTACGGTCATGTTGCAGCTAATAAGGTTCTTTCTTAACACGCAAACATGCGGTTGATTAGCTCAAATATGAGCATGGCTAAATGCGCATTCGGTTTGCACTCAGTTTCCAGCTACACTCGTGTTCCGACAAATTGGGCTGGCAAAAACGATGTATTAGGCGTGGTGAACAAGCTCGCATCGTGGCTTCACTCCCCCCCCCTGAAATATAATACTCGTTGAATGTTCAAAACTCAGATAATTTCCATAGAAATTAAATAAATAATACGAAACTTCGGTTTTAAAATCAATGATCCTGAGATGTATTCGACGTTTGAATGATATGACACATTGCTCATCGACTGGAACCAGAAGGTGGTCGAGGGGAGACAAAGATTCGTGGGAGTTACACACAGGTCTGTCGTAGTCAATGTTTGCTGGACCCGGAACGCCGTTCTGGATCTGTTTACTGGCCACAAATGCAACTAATGGTGCTACAGAATGGCACAGACTTGCTCGTACTAGTTAGTTTTCTATTTTCTTTCGTCTCGGCTAGCTTCTCGCTCTCGCCCCCATCCTCTTGTCAGCTGCTATCTATCGCCGCCCAAAGTACACATTTTAAAAAATGTTTATGGAAGTTTTCACCGAAAAATTTGGAGCAGTTGTTAAAAAAATATTGTTTACCCGTAAGTGTAAATGCGAAATTTCATGCACTTTTTCACAGAAAACGTTTGAGATTTCGAAAAACTTATTTCTAAATCATTTGAAGCATTTCCACTCTAAAACGCAATAATGTTCACAAATTGCTAGAAATGTGCAAATGAAATACGAGAGATATTAAAAAAAAATTACATTTGTGTAATTCACATGGAGTTGTTCACAGAAGAAAGACGGACAGACGTTTTGAAACAAATCACTTTTTCGGTATCAGGGCACCCCAAAACGTGAATTTCCGTTGAAATCTCGAAATCGATTTTCGGCAGCATTACATCACTTTCTCTATACTACGTATATTTCTCCGTATACGCGTACGTATACAAAACCAAACGTTCCCGTACTGGAAACATTATGAGTTCCCTTGAGCACAGTGGATAGTGAAAGTGGGGGTGGTATGAACAGGCGCTGATGTTGCAGCAGCTGAATGCAGAGTTGGCAGTCACGATAACATTTATAAAAGGTTGCACAGATTGCGGTGCTTCCTGTTAAGAGCGGAGGACGGGTAGTTGTGATAGCTTTACGAGGAACGAGCGACAGAAATGGAGTAGCGAGACTGTGCCATTTGAGTTGCTGATATTGGAAGGTTGTGGAAATTAACCTAGACAGCCGCGATAAATAAAATATGTGTGGGCTACGAATAAGATCTGTCAGATGACAGCTGTTTCAGATCTGCAGATGCCAGCTGTTTCACTGACAATGAGACCAATAATTTGTTAAGTTATTGATATGAAATATTTGCATTCCATATCTTTGAATTACCGAAAAATGATGAAAGTGTCTCCTTCAGCAGTTGTGTTTTCTCATGGTGAAGTTCAAGGCGAGTTTGCTCATGGTGAATTGTCTATAGAATGAATGATCATTGGGCAACGAATTCTGTTGAGATGGCAGATTTTATGGCTTTACTTCTAGGCTGTCCGGGTGACGCCGCGTCGTTGGCAGATAGGCCGACGTTTCGCCTGTCATGTCGCAGGCTTCTTCAGGGTACTGACATAGTAAAGCTGACATGACAGGCGAAACGTCGGCCTATCTGCCAACGACGCGGCGTCACCCGGACAGCCTAGAAGTAATGGACTCGAGCCGCGGAAGCCTACGTGTACAGATTTTATGGCTTTCTGTGTTCAACAGAACAAACATGAAGAAGCAAAAGGAAGCGCCCCACACGAGTCTTCTGGACCAAGACAAGAGGCTTCCGAACCCCATAAAGGATCCACAGATTTGTTCTCAATGATTCCAATGAGAGACACAAACACACAAACGGACGCACATTATCCTCGCACGTAAGCTTCTTTGCTCTCTCGCACACATACACGTTCCTTTATTTACTCACATACTCGTACGTTACTTTCAGAGAAGACATCTTGCTGACTTCATTCATTCTCTCTCTCTCTCTCTCTCTCTCTCTCTCTCTCTCTCTCTCTCTCCACACTCTGACACACACACACACACATACATACACACTCGCGCGCGCGCGCGTACAACTCATGTTCTTATCCTTTCACAAACAACTAGTATTTTTCGTCCGTCGCCTGCACCTCCGGAGCGCGTTCGGCGTGGCGGAGCCGAGTGGGCGACTCACCATGACGAGCGAGCAGGCGGCGTAGACGGCGCCCGCGGCGGCAGCGGGCCCGCAGCCCAGCGCCCTGGCCGGCTCCGACGCCGCCTGGTGCGAGAAGGCCACGGCGAACACCAGCACGAACTCCAGCGCCAGCCGCTCCCACGGCGACAGGTGCGTGGGCAGCGTGGCCACGGCCATCAGCGCCGCCTGCTGGTGCGGCAGCGTCACGCTGTGGAACCAACCCAACGCCATTCTTCACACACATTTTTTTAACCCTTCCGTTCGAGCATTTCAAGTAAGATTGAAATATTTCTTTCTTTCAAATATTAAATACAACAATTACAGGTTAGGGTTTGCCGATTCTCTATATTTTGCCTAAAAATGACAATGTACCTAAAACCAACTTAAAATCCCCGAAAAAATTGTTGAACAGAAAATATTGTAATAAAGGCACAGCGCGCGCCGACCCTCAGTACAGTGAAACCTGTCTTAACTGGCAACTCATGATTCCGGAGAAAAATGGCCGTCAGACTTATTACTGGAGGTTATGAGAATATGGATGCAGATTTCCGACCTAATTTTGATATTTGCAATGGAATTAAGTATGCATTGACTGCTTACACTTCTTCAATTACACTTAAATTACAAAATATTGAAAAATTGTTCGAGTATGCAAAACAAGTAATGAACTCATTCAATTCTGGGTTTGCACTCTTCTTTTTCACAACTGAATGGTTCTTCCCATTCCTGAAGGTGATTCCCAATAGACTTGAAGGTGTAATTCGCACACTGAGAAGAATCTTCAAATCATGCATGAAAACCATTTACTGTTATCTGGAATACAAATTATTTGCACCGCAAAGCTAGCAAATGTTATTATTGTTCTACGTAATTTAATCCTGGGTCCCGACGCATTAAACTATTTAATAAAAAGTTATATCCATCGATATCCGCTTCCCTTGGGTTACGGATAAAAATTACAAATTCATCAGGAATGTGTGACCGTCTATTACACGTTAATCTACGAAATGTACTTGATAGCTGACCGCCAGGTCAGGTGCCCTCCAAAAGAGAGAGTTTTAAAGAAAATAATACCTTAAATGAACGAATGGCGCTTGTGCCTTTATCTAGGACTGCCGCGAGTCTGGCGCCTACAGTAGGGTTGGGTGGGGCCACAAGTATAGGCGGCGCGGAAAACCAAGGGGGGCTAGAATCTTTCATTGGATCTTTTACTAAAGTATAGCACGTAGTAGTGTAAACCTGTTCAAGTCACAAGTATCTATACACAAAAGAAACATAGTTAACAACATAAACGTTTTTGGATCCTGAATAATTGACGTTTTAATTGGAATAAGGCTGTAACTGTTGTAGGCCGCTGTAATGGAAATTGATTTTACCTACCGACATTTTTAGCGTCAGTGTTCACCTAATATACCGACTACGTCATTATATACATTATGAAGATTATGTACAACACAACAGACGTCAATACTTCACTCTGGGAACTAAGAGGAACGTCAAGTCTGTTTCTGACCCACTTGGGTTCTTTCTCCGTCACTACTGATAAGATAACTAGCTATTTCTCCCTTTTGATTCACCATCTTTATGGGTGTATATCTTTATATTTATATGCAACTTAGTTAAATGAACGTAATACACTTAACTGAAGTTATTATTTTCGTTACATCATAACAAATTCTAGGGTTCTAAATCAGCACTTCAAGTCAGGCGTAACAATTGCAAAACGTTGCACTTTCCTAGAAAATAGTGGGGGAAACTTCTCAGAAAACGTTCGAGAAGGGCGAGGCATCCGTTTCATTCTCACCATTTCCATTTTATTAATGCGCTGTATTTATTGAACAATTTCAATATAATTTCCCTTCATTTACAATACTTTTCAATTATCTTTACAATGCCACAAATTTCTGAACAAAACAACAATCTCTTTCCGCTAACTGCGCAGTGCAAAAGACGCGAGAGGAAAACGCGTTCATGCCACCTCCCCACGCGGTGCCCTCTCCCTTTCCCTCGTCGGGGCTGCCGATGCCCCTCGCCCTCGAGCCGCCCCGTGCGCTGGGCCACGCGTGGCTGCGCGTGGGCGGGCGGCACGCCGTGCGCGGCGATGCGCGCCAGGCCGCGCCAGG